GTCTCCGCTGCCACGCCGCCGATGGGATGGGGTGCTATGGCCATGGGCAATTCCGGCATTCCGAGAGACCGTCGCTCCACATTGCCCAGGCGTTGGAAGAGGTGGCTGCATACGGTTACCGTGGGAATGCCCCTACGTTCCAGTTCTACCGCGTCGTGGATACTCCACGAGGTGCAGGAGCCTCAATCACCGAGGCCGACGACGGCCACTTCCACCTGTGTCGCCAACTCTTCAATTACCTGGGCGTCTGCCGGTATGGAGGCGGTGGGCTTGCGGCGGTAGAGGGCCGATGGAATCTCGTACTTCTCCCGCAGCAGTTGCTCCAGTCGTTGAAATAGCACATATCCGTTGGGCTTGCTGTTCCAGAGGAAGCCAACGGACTTGCCCCGCAAGTCTTCGGGCCGCAATGCCATTACCGTGCGCAGTTCCCGCGGCGGCGCGGTTGGGTTGAGGACGGTGATGTGGCCGTTGGTGGCAGGGGCCATGATGGTTCCTCCTGGAGGGAGTCGGTAGATAGGGGCTGGTTTAGCGGAATTATAGGGCGGGAGTTGGGGAAAGAACAAGGGCGCCGTGGCGGTGCGGCGCCCTAACTTCCTGAACTCAGTTTCGAGAGCAATTGACTTCAACCAGGCGGATCCTCTTTGGCAGGGTTTGTCTGCGGGGATGGTTCGTCAACTTTCCTGACTACGCGCACAGCGGGAATCCCGGGAGTGCGCCCAAAGTACAGGCGAACCGAGTCAACGCCTTCGGGTTTGGAATGCCTGGAATCGGTTTCCTTGTTGCTGCCGATTCTATAAAGGGGGATCGCCATATCAGTTCCTAACGGGCCGAGGGTATTGCCTGCTCATCCAATATATCATAGACCGAGCTTATCCCCCAACCTCGCTGGTGTCCGGCCGACGGCCTTGAGTCATAGAAAAAGTAACTAATCAGAACTGCCTCGACTTCGCGAGGCACAATGAATTGAAAGACTTCCTGCAGAGCCTGGCCAGGCTCGATAACCAGGGCTTGATCTCCCAAGTCAAAAGAGGCCTGATCCAAAACCGGCCACGGGGGATAGAGTAGATTGCCGTCTGGCATATCCTGTCCGTCTGGCAGCTGAGTAATGTGTTGGAGCAGGAAGTAACCGTCCTGTAACTCCACCTTGACCCGTGAACTGTTGTGCAGTAGCGCCGTCACGTCGATATGCACATATGGGTCTCCAACGTGCCGGTGATTTATGGTGTGGGAAATGGTCAGATGCGGTTCCAGATCCCGAAACTGTTTCAGCTTGTAGAGTGCAAAGCCGCCGCCGGCCAGGATGGCCAAAATGGTAAGTATCGACTGGACAATTCCAGAAAAATCTTTGAGCCAAGTCAGGTCGGGCATAAGTATGGGTGGGTACTCTCAGTGAGCGACAGGTTGTACCTGGGGAGACTGCGCCCCTGTGGTATCAGTTTGCAATCCGGCAAATCACCACAGGGGCGCGGGTTATCCTTCGAATAGCTTCGGACGATCCTTCAACAGGCTCAGGACGAGCGGGTGGTATCCGGTCACGGTGAAACCGTGACCGGACCTGTTGCATGATGCCTAGAAGCTGGAGCGGCGGGCTTCGAGGCCGGTGTGGATGTCGATCAGGACGGTGCGGCCTTCGGCATTGTGCTGGCGGGCCTGCATGAGGGCGGCGGCCACGTCTCCGGGCTGGGTTACGGTGATTCCCACCGCGCCCATGCCCTCGGCTATCTTGGCATAGTCGCCGGACATGCGAGTGGCACCGTAAAGCTCGTTGGCGACGGGGGTAGCCGCCGGGGTAGGTGGCCATGCCGCCGTTGTTGAGCAGAATCGTGGTTATCGGCGCGCCGGCCCGTACTGCCGTCTCCAGGTCCAGGCCGGACATACCAAAGGCTCCGTCGCCCATGAAGTTGAGGCAGAACTTGTCGGGGCGGGCCAGCTTGGCGCCGATCATCAAGGGGATGCCATAGCCCAGGTGGGTGGTCTTGCCCCAGCCGATGTAGCTGTGGGGGGTGGTGCCGGTGTAAAAGGGCATCATGGTGTCGCGGGGGGCGCCGGCGTCGTGGGTGACGATGCTGTTTACCTTGTCCAGAGTGCGCTCCAGTTCGCCGATGACGCGGTAGTGGCTGATGGGCGTCTCGTCGGTCTTGAGGATGTCTTCCCACTCGGCCATCCAGGTATCACGGATCTTGGAGATCTGGTCGGCGATGTCGGTGGTGCCCTTGCGACCATTGTCGCCGGCCTGGGCCTTGACCTCGGCGATCATAGACTTGAGGGTCAGCTTAGCGTCGCCGGGCAAGCCAACGTCCACTGAGAAGTCCTTGTTAATGTCCTCGATGCTCTCCACGTTGTGGATGATTACCTTGCCGTCGGGGATGGGCTGGCCGTAACCGGTGCGGGTCATGCTGGAGCCCACGGCGAAGAGGACGTCGGATTCCTGCAGCCAGGTGCGGGCGGGCAAAGAGGTGGCACTGCTGCCGGAGCCCAAAGGCCAGCGGATGCCGCTCGTCGAACGAAGACTTGCCTGGCATGGTGCAGTAGACGGGAATCTCGGTGAGCTCGGCGAACTCCTGCAGTTCCTCGGTGGCGCCAGCCATCAGCACGCCCATGCCTGACCAAATGACAGGCTTCCTGGCATTGAGCAGCAGGTTGACGGCTTCCTTAACGTCGCTGGCTTCGGGGGCCTGGCGCATCCGCTTGGGCGAGTTGTAGTTCATGGCGGCTTCGGGAACTTCCAGGCCGCCGATGTCGGCGGGAATCTCTACGATGACCGGGCCGGGGCGGCCATTGCGCAGGGCATGGAAGGCGCGGCGCATGACGCTGACCACCTGCTGGGGCTGGGTGATTACCTCGCCGAACTTGGAGACGGTCGCGTAGGTGCGGACGGGGGAGAAGTTGGGTTTAACCGAGTACTGGCTCATGGCCGGGCCGCCGGGCAGGTAGAGAATGGGCACGTTGTCGCTGTAGGCCTGGGCCAACCCGCCCATGGAGTTCTCGGAACCCGGGCCGCCCTGGGTGATAGTGACGCCAAACTTTTCGCGGCCGTTCAGGCGGCTGAAACCGTCGGCGGCCATCAGTGCGCCCCGCTCCTGGCGGAACATGATGGTGCGAATGCCCTCCTGGGCTACGTGCTCGATAAGCTGGTTGGAGGGGAAGCAGGAAACCCACTCCACCCCTTCGAGTTTCAGAATCCGGGCCACGGCCTGCATTACATTCATGCTGGTTTGTCCTCCGTTGCTAATATTTTTTGCTATCTCTGGCCGATGTGGATTTTAACACAAGGGGATAAGGTGGGGTGAGGGGCGGGTGTCACGGGGTACGTCCTCGCCCCCGGCCCCACTCCCAGAGGGGGAGAGGGATTCCGGCCTGCGCTGGGATGGCGGTTGGGGGGAGATCTCGTTATGGGATAAGACTGTGCGGGAACCATGCCTGCCCTGGAACCGTGGTTTGACCGGCATAATTGGCCCGAATTATGATTCTAAGGTATAGCTCGGCTTGCTCTCGACCCCTGAAGCTATGTTTGGAGAGGGGAGATAATGGAGAGCATCGACTGGGAGGCAGCGGAAAATGACACCTGAGCAAACTGGCCACGCCAGCCACGGCCAAACCAATCACGACCACACCGGCCGCAGGAGGAGAAACCCTGAGGATGAGCATGACCATGACTATCGGAGCGCCGGTCGTCGCAGCCTGATAATTGTCCTGATTCTGCTGCTCTGCCACATGGGGATTGAAATAATCGGCGGCATCCTTTCGGGCAGCCTGGGATTGCTGGCCCATGCGACCCATATGATGACCGACGCAGTGGCCATTGGCTTGGCGCTGTTCGCCATGTGGATTGCCGAGCGTCCAGCTACCATAACGCGAACCTTCGGCTACCATCGCACCGAGGTGCTGGCAGTGATGTTCAACGCTCTTGCTCTCTGGGTGCTGGCCAGCTGGATTTTCTACGAGGCTTACCGAAGGCTTGGCGACCACGCTGCCGGACACGGGCACGAAGTGGAAGGCGCGTTAATGTTGGGTGTCGCCTCTGCAGGGCTTGTTATCAACGTATTGGCAGCCTGGATACTCTACCGCTCGTCGCGGCACAGCATCAACGTCGAAGGAGCCTTCTGGCATATTGTGGCCGACCTGTTGGGCTCCATCGCTGTGGTTATCTCCGGTGTCCTTACATTGGCTTTTCACTGGGACCTGGTGGACCCCATCCTCAGTATCATTATCGGGGTACTAATCCTGGTGAGTTCTGGTCGTTTGGCCATCATGGTATTTCGCGTACTGCTGGAGAGCGTACCGGCCGGGTTGGATATGTACCAGCTTTGCAGTGCTCTGGAGGACGTGGAAGGTGTAACCCTGGTGCATGATGTTCACGTATGGAGTATTACCAGGGGCTACGATGCCCTCACCGCCCACGTGCTCGTGGACCCAAATTACCAAGGGGACTTTGACCCGCTTCTGCGCAGTTTGCGGCGAGTCGCCTACGAGGAATTTGACATCCGACATATCACCATACAAATAGAGCAGTCGCCGGCGGATTGTACCGAAAACCACCACGTGGGACACTTAGAAGCACATTCACACTGAGAAATGATAAGCCCGGGGGGCGTCAGGAATTAGGAATAGGGAGCTGGGAGATTTATGTGGGGCGGGCTCCTTTTGGTTCTCTTGGTTCAGTTATTACGGTAGGGATGGGTCATCCGAGTTGGCAAGGGGGGAGTGTCAGTGAGGGGTGGAGTGGGATGGGGTTCGTCTTTGTGATGATTGCCGGGGCGCACAGCCGTGCGCCCCGGCAAGTGGGTGTCAGGCAGAGTGGGGGGTTCCTGCCTGCGCAGGAATTGCCATGGCCCTAAAGGCCCACATAAGAGGACGAAAACAGGTTGGAAGCAGTTGGGGCAGGCATGTCGCCGACAGCTGCCTGAAGGTTATTTTTAAAGTAACGACGGCACCTTCCCAGCCATTTCGTGTCCGCCCCTTTCGTGCGATTGCCCTGGGGGTGCCACCGGCCTCCCGGTCTATTCCGGGGTTACCAGGGACTCGGCCTCCTGTCCCGACAGCACGCGGAGGATATTGCCGTAAGCAAAGCGCGCTGCCCGCAGGGCGGTCTCCTGGCTCTGACCGGCCATGTGCGGGGTGATGATCACGTTGTCCAGTTCGAACAGGGGATTGTCGGCGGGCGTGGGCTCCACCTCCAAAACGTCCAGTCCGGCGCCAGCAATCTTCCCCTCGGTCAGGGCGCGATACAGGGCTGCCTCGTCCACCACCGGCCCGCGGCAGAGGTTAATCAGGAAGGCCGTCTCCTTCATCACGTCAAATTCCCGGTCCGACATCATGCCCCGGGTCCGCCTGGTGAGGGGAACATGGAGGCTGACGATGTCGGAGGTCTCCAGCAATTCGTCAAAGGGCACAGGCGATGCCTTGACCTCGCGCTGAACATCCTCGGGTACATCCTCCACGTCGTAAAAGATGGTCTGGGTATCGAACCCGGTCAGCCGTTTGGCCACCTGCCGGCCTATGCGTCCCAACCCCACGAGGCCCACCGTCTTGTCGGTAACTTCCGACAGGTCGGTCTGATAGAGGTTGCTTCGCCACTCCCGCCGCCGGGTAGTGCTATCCCATTGGGCCATGAGGTTCCGGTTGATGCCGATCATCATGGCAATGGTCTGCTCCGACACCGAAATGGCGTTGGCGCCGCCGTTGTTGGCCACGGGTATGCCCATTTCAAGGATGGCCTCCAAGTCCAGCCGGTCGTAGCCCGCACTCAGGGTCTGGATCAGCTTTACCCGGGGGCACTCCTGGAGCACGCTGGTGCTAACGTCGCTGGTGACGAGGGCGTCGGCGTCGCGGCAAAGATCGATTTTTTCCGACTCCGACAGAGCCGGGTCCACCACCGTAACCTCGATTTCGTCCGGCGCCTGCTCAAGCATGGTGGAAGGGCGTCCGCCAACGCCGCTGAAATAGGCGACTTTCCAAGTGGCCATCTGATTTCCTCCTTCATGTGCGGCCCCGGAATCCTGGGCCTTTGGCTCGCTGATATATATCGCGGCAATTGCTGCAAGGGTACTGCGGCAAGAGGCAGGGTGTTGCGCCAAGGGTATAACAACAATGGTATTGCGACAAGGGCGAGTAGGGTAGCAAGGGTAGTGCAACCCCAGCCGTCGTCAATTCCGGCCCCAGCGCCACGTTTGAGGTTCGCCCTTCGCAGGAATTGCCATGTCCTTGAACAGACCACATAAGGAAATGAGAATGGGGAGCCAAATGGTACAAGTGGGATCGTCATCGGAGCCTGAAGTCGTAGTCGGATTTCCGTATTTTCATAGTAACGACGGGGTTGGGGGGTGCATCAACCCGAACCGGGGCAGGCACACCGGAGCAAGTACGCATGATAGACGCACCATGGCGGACACACAGGTCTGCCCCTACGGGGTGCGGGATTTTGGGGCGGGAGTCTACCGCCAATCGCGCAAGAAAAGTGCTAAACTCCTTCCAACACTGAGTCCCACGAGGAGGATAGCAATGCCAAACGTGACGGTTGAAGAGAATGTGATGATTCCCACCACGGATGGGTACGAGCTGAGGGCGGATATTGCCCGTCCGGCCAATGCTGACGGTTCGGCGCCCGCGTTGCTGTTCCTGCCCGGCGGCGGGTGGGTTACCGCCAACCATGAACTGCTGAAGGAGCGCTATGGAATCCCCATGGCCGAGCGGGGTTACGTCTGCATTACGGCTACCTACAGAATCATGGAACAGGCCATCTGGCCGGCGGCGATACAGGACGTGAAGTCCATCCTGAGGTGGATGCGGGCCAATGCTGACCGGCTGGGCATCGACCCGGAGCGGATCGCCCTGGGCGGAAAGTCGGCGGGCGGCCATCTGGCTCTGCTGGCGGCGGCGACCAACGGCAGTTCCGAGTTTGACGGCGACGGCCCAAACGCGGGCTACAGCAGCCGTATTTCCGCGGTGATTGGCGTGGCTCCGGCGTCGGATATCCGGACCTACTGGAGTCGCGACAACCTGATGCAGTACACGGCCAATGACTCGTCCGATGCTGCCATTACTGCCGCCAACCCGGTGGAGCGCGTTACCGCCGATTACCCGCCCACATTGCTGGTGCACGGTACCAATGACGAGCGGGTCCCCCACCAGATAACCATGCGAATGTTCGCGGCCCTGGAAGAGGCCGGAGTTCCCGCCGACCTGCGGTTGTTTGCCCACCAGGGCCACTTGTTTGACGGGGAGCCGCAGTTCAGCTCCGCCATCGTAGAAGCTATGGCCCACTTCCTGGACCGCTTTGCGGCAGTGCCGGCTACGGAGGCGGTGGCTGCGGATAACTAGGGTTCCTGCTGTTTCTCTCTACGATTGGACACGAATGTCCACCAATTGGGCCCTTGGCGGCCAGTTGGTGGACATTCACTTTATTTGTGGGAAAGCACCTCGTATCGGTTGGCTTGGAAACGCCTGTCAATATTGTTGGTGAGGATTATGCTCTCGGGCAGTGTTCACATTGGGCCGCTGGCCCCCCCCATCCTAACTGTCCCCCGTTGATGCGGAAGGTAGTATTGAGTTAGTCCCTTGGTTTTCCGGCGGAGCAGAACCGGTAGCCAGGGCCCCTTCGGCCTTGGCGAGGTTGTTGCGGCTGGCCTGGGTGCTGGGATGGTCGGGGCCGAGTACCCGTTCGCGGATTGAGAGGGTTTGGCGGTGCATCTGTACGGCAGTCTGGTAGTCGCCGACGGCGTGATAACAGTTGCCGAGGCTGCCCCGACTGCGCAGGGTGTCGGGGTGTTCGGGCCCCAGGGTGCGGGAGCGGCGGTCCAGGGTTTCCCGGAACAGGTCCATTGCCATCTGAAAATGACCGGCAGCATAGAAACTGTTGGCCAGGCCAGTGCAGCTGCGGAGGGTTTCGGGATGGTCGGGGCCAAGGGTGCGTTCCCGCTCGGCCAAGGCTTGCTGGTGCAGGCGGATGGCCGGGCCGTAGCGGCGGGAGACCCGGTGGAAGCGGGCCAAGTGGTAGTTGACGTTGAAGCCGGTTGGCTGCCCGGTGGTCATTTCTGACTTATCCACGAATGGGCACGAATTCCCAGTAAGAGACTTTCTCGAGACTGTGGGGTGGAATTAGCGGCTATGGGCAGCGGTGATACTGCGCTGCCCGTCACCCCCATCCTGACTTCTGTAGTCAAAGAGGCAGGAAACTTTAGTAGTTACCGCCGCCCACAACAGGGAGTTTCATCGGCGGTTAGCAGATCGTTGCTTAGTTCTGGCCTCTATTCGGATTGGGATTTCCGCAGTTCGTCCAGCCCTTCTTCCAGGGCTGTCCAGGGCAGCAACGCGCATTTAATGCGGACGGGGTATTGGCGGACCACCTGGAGGGCAACCAGATCGTTCAATACTCCCAAGCCCTCTGCGGTCAGGTCCCTCCCCTGCATCAACTCCCGGAACAGGCGAGCCAGTTCTTCCAATTCCTCCGCCGACTTCCCCTCCATCTCTTCTGCCATCATCGATGCCGAGGCTTGAATAATGGAGCAACCCTGGGACTCGGAAGACACCCGGGCAACCCGTCCTGAGCCATCCAACTGGGCCTTGAGGGTAACCTCATCCCCGCAAAAGGGATTGAACTCGTGAGCGGCCAGGTCGGCCATATCCAGAGGTTGACGGTGCCGGGGATTGCGATAGTGGTCCATTATGGCCGCGCCATAAAGACCGTCGAAAGCGACATCAGAAAACTGTGACATAGTCCGCCGAATCCGCCCTGGGACGGGGCGACAACGCAGCCGCCAAGAGCTACCAAAATGCGAAATATAGCTTACCACAAACCCTCAGAGCGGGTTTATTGCCAGTATAACTGCGCAGGGCAACCGCGTTTGGGTTATTACGGGCTTCGCGTTCCTGCTGCAGCGGGAACGGGGTGCCAGAATCTCACCTTCCAATGCGTGATTTCCGGACTGCCTTAGGGCGTCAAATTCCCGTTTATCCGCAGCCGTTTCCGCTAGCATTTCCGGGCCCTTTTCCATTAGCGTTTAGTTGCAATTTTGCCACTGGAATGACCATGCCACAACGCGTCAGTTGCGGGCGGCGGTTTGGAGGAGAGGTATGGCGCGCTCTATCAGCACTGTTCTGCTCTTGGTGTTGGGACTCTTGATGCTGGGCCTGGTGGCCTGCTCTTCGGAAGAACCGCCGGTCCAACCGGCAACGACTGAGACCGACACCCCAACCAGTCCGGCGGTCCGTCACTCGGCAACACCGCAGGCGGTCCCAGCTGACTCCCCGGTCCTTGACGAAGCCGAGCAAGCCACTCCCCGCCAGGGCGGCCACCTGATTCTGGCCTCCATGGCCGATTTCCCCCACCGTGACGTTCACCAGGACAACCAGGAAACCCTGGCTACCCTGGGGCCCGGCCTGGCCTACAGCCGACTTCTTCGCTTGAGTACCGGCCGCGAGGTTGAGCAGCCCAGCCTGACCCTGGAATGCGACCTGTGCGAAAGCTGGGAACTGGCGCCGGATATGTCCTATGTGTTCCGGTTGCGCCCCGATGTCCACTGGCAGGACGCCTCGCCCGTCAACGGACGCCAGATGGTGGCCGACGACCTGGTGTTCAGCTACGAACGAATGCGCACCACCGGCTGGCCTGGGGAAGCCCGCTTTGCCAACCGGGGCATTGGCGAGATAGAAGCCCTGGACGACCTGACCCTGAAGGTCAATCTGGAGTTCCGGGATGCCGACGCCCTGCTGGCCCTGGCCGACGGCCACAGCAAGATTGTGGCCCCGGAGGTTGTTGACCGGTTCGGCGACCTGAGGAATGCCCCGGTAATTGGCACCGGCCCCTGGATCTTTGAACAGCAGTCAGCCAGCGCCTCCATCGACTATGTAAGAAACCCCACCTACTTCGAGCCAGAACTGCCCTATCTGGATACGATTACCGTCAAGGCAGTCAAGACCCCGGGCACGGACTTTTCGGTCAATCCCAAGCGGCTGGCCCTGTTGCAGGCAGGTCAAATCGACGTACTGGTCGCGCATCCCACCGACTGGGCCCACCTGGAGCGCAGCAGCGTGGAGTTCAACTCCCGCGTCTCCCAGCAGCCGGAAATCGGCATGGTAATGTCCCTCAACACCCAGTCGGCTCCGCTGGACAACCTGGCAGTGCGCCAGGCCATCTTCCGCGCCGTCGACCCCTGGGAGTATGTGGACATTGACTGGTATGGGCAGGGCGGCGTAGGCATGGGAATGCCGGTGCCCAACCCGCAGTGGCAACTGGACCGCAATGAAATGCTGGGCAATTACCTGGGCTCCCACAGCGGGGCGCGGGATATCCTCGCCGACAACGAGATTTTCTATCCCCCGGCGCTGGAGATTACCGTGGCTGACTTGGGGCCCGACTACCGGCGGGTTGCCTCCCAGATGGCCCTGGACCTGGAATCCGCCGGATTTGAGGTCAATGTTACCCCGGTCACTCCCTCCCAAATGCAGGAAGCCATGTTCGGCGAAGGCAGGGACTACCAGATTGCCCTCGGCCCGTTGCCTCCCCACCCGACTACCAACGGCTATCTGTACTCGATCCTGCACAGTGGCGGCCCCGGCAATATCGTCAACCACGAGGACGTGCTTATGGACGCCCTGATCGAAGCCCAGGCGGCAGAACTGGACCCGTCTCGGCGGCAGGAAAGACTGCTGAACCTGCAGCGACACGTCCTGGACCAGGGTTATATGTTCAGCCCCATAACCGGCTCGTACCGCTGGATTTTCGATTGGGACCTGGAGAACTTCTACCCCAACACGGCCCTTTCGGAGTACCACTACTGGGCTGAGGCGTGGCTGAGCCAGTAAGCAAGCCCTTCACTCCTGAACGGAACAACAATGGGGCGGACCTGCAATGGTCCGCCCCACATTAATGCCTCTCCCAATAAACCTGTAGGGGCAGCCCTTGTGGCTGCCCTGCTCCCGCTTCATAACTACCCGAAGGGAAACGACGCCGTACTCACCTATCCTGGCGTGGAGTAAGTGGGCGGCAAAGCGCCGGAACCTCGCTTCAATCCCTTCAGGTAGGCGATTTGGCCCTGGTGCTGGTAGAACTCGGCCAGAAGTTGGCGCAAGACTTTACCAACCGTCAGTTCGGGGCGGCGTTCTCGGGGGACAATTTCATAATCCTCGGGCGACAGGCCTCGCAGGTACTCCAGGGTGCCATTGCGCACCGCCTCTCCGTACCGCAGCAATTCCTGCAGGTCCAGGGCGGGGAAGTTGGCCACTTGCTCCGGCGTGTGGCCGAACCCGTTGTCGCGGGTGGGCAGGCCGAACTTCTGGTGCCAGCCATCTCGCTCCCACATTTCGGTCTGCCCCTGGATGAAGAACTGGACCCACATATCCTCCACCCGAATCGTATGCCACAACATCCAGCCGATGGGGTTGGCATCGGGGGCGGGCTGCCAGGTCAACTCCTCGGGCGTCAGGTCCTCCACAGCTTCCAGCAGCAATGATTGCTCGACCTGGAGGGCCGATTCGATAAATTCGTTAAGTGTCATGGTAAGGCCTCTACACCTTTAGGTGTTCCATGTGAAGGAAAAGGCTGGTTGGCTGCCTACATCGGTAGGAACAAAGGAAGTGGAAATGTACTCAGCGAAAATGATGAAAGACCATGGATCAAATTCCTCACGAAATTTGGACAGTTCGGTTGGAGCATACAGACGTCTATTAAGTATCGAGTCAGCTGAGAATTCTTCCGTTGCCTGTGGTTTAAATTCTTCAGAAATAACTAACTCATAGACGAAACCTACGTGTCTCGATGCTATTACAGAAGAATGATCCATGACCATGCCGATCGGCATAATGCCCGAAAGGCTCTCAACTCCCAATTCTTCCTTTACTTCTCTCTTTAAAGTCGAAAGCAGTAAAGAAGATAGGCCAGTGGTCTCGTCGCATCTATCTACATGGCCGCCCACAACCAAACTAACTTTAGACCGCAGGTCTTCTCGCCCTTCCTTAATCCGACGTAATACACAGTATTCCCCCAAATCGTTGCGTACTATTGCGCATGGGATAGGTTGAAACAAGTCAGCCGATAATTCAGCTTTCTCTCTGGATACCCAATCCATGCCTTCTTCGATGAACTTGAACGACGTACTTGCATTCTTCCAAGGAATGAATGGGGCCAAGGTAGGCAAGGACAAACGTGGAAAGACCAGAATTTCTCTATCGTTGTCCATATTTATCATCCCCGGTCAAACCGGTCAAGAATTAGACCGGCTACCTTAAAGGCAGTTGTTTGCGGCGTTGTTTCTTGTGAACCGAG